ACCCGCCTCCCTCACTCGCTGATTGGTCAGATGGAATTCAACTGATTGTAATCGCTAACACGGGGACCAGACCCAGACGTTACATGCAGGGAAATTATGATTGAGCGGAGTGTACAGATGGCTAAGGCCAGGCTAATTATGAACAGCATACTAAAGAAAATATTGGTTTAAAGGACAGGAATGAGAGTGTTTGTTGGGAGTTTATTCATTTGCATAAAGAGGTCTGCATTCTGACAGGTTTTGCGGCATTTCCAAAGAGACCGTGGTAAAGGTCACAGCAGAGATACTTTGCAGGTGCATCATCTGAATGTCTATAAATACAGCATATTTGTGTTGGTGTCACTCTGTCTGTCTGTTACCCCACAAAGAGTGAATGTTACACTGGAGAGCCAATTAGCGTCCCTCACTTTGACAAGCACTCATCAGCAGCAGCATGCTTATACATGTTAATAACGGTCTAGAGTGACCAAGGAGGTTCATTACTGCAACAGCACGAAGCCACAATGAGGGAGCAGCCGTCCCCCCTGTCACCACCTCTACTCCGTCTCACCCTCTGCCCTATCACTGCCAAACCACATGTAGGCACATTTGTAAAGTAGGACACAGATAGAAAACACAAACATAAAAATAAGCAATTGCATTATCTCTTTTCAGAAGCTCTGATCTCACGTGTCCTGCACCACTGCAATATCCTCAACTAATATCACAATATCATGTGCAATAACCACTTGTCACTGTCACTTTACTGAGTTACTTTGTCTCAGAGCCTCATGCTGCTAATACACAGATGTAAACGTACTGCTGCTAAGATGTACAGATGTAAACAGTTGTTTTTGAGTATTGCTACATTTATTTTGATAGGGATAGGGTACATAGATGTAAACATACTGCTGCTAATGTACACATGTAAACATACTGCTGCTAACATGTACAGATGTAAACATACTGCTGCTAATGTACAGATGTAAACATACTGCTGCTAACATGTACAGATGTAAACATACTGCTGCTAACATGTACAGATGTAAACATACTGCTGCTAATGTACAGATGTAAACATACTGCTGCTAACATGTACAGATGTAAACATACTGCTGCTAATATACAGATGTAAACATACTGCTGCTAACATGTACAGATGTAAACATACTGCTGCTAACATGTACAGATGTAAACATACTGCTGCTAACATGTACAGTTGTAAACATACTGCTGCTAATGTACAGATGTAAACATATTGTTGCTAATGTACAGATGTAAACATACTGCTGCTAATGTACAGTTGTAAACATACTGCTGCTAACATGTACAGATGTAAACACTTTACTTGCACTAGAATACACAGTACTTTATACTTGCCTCTTATTTTGCCAAATGTAAAACTTTGTTTAACTTATTTTTTATTATTATTATGTTCAAGATAGAGATTTTATACTTTTTATTTGATGCTAGAGTAAGAGATTTTATTTTATTTTAATTAGTATAGCTATTGTTCATTTATCTTGTGCTGTGTGCTCCTCATTCCTACTGTTCTATTACTTGTGATGCAACACTGAAATTTCCCCACTGTGGGACAAATAAACAATCTCTAAATCTTAATCTTAATCTTACCATTATCAGTATATTCAAAGCATTGCTGCCCGAGTTGTGACTAGAACCAGGAAGTATAATCACATTAGTCCAGTCCTCAGGTCTCTGCACTGGCTTCCTGTGGCTCAGAGAATAGACTTTAAAACAGCTCTGCTTGTTACAAGTCTCTCCATGGCCTCACATCCGTACATCTGTGACATATTAGTGCCATATGAACCACCTCGGCTGAGGAGCACAGGGTGTCAGAACTAAACATGGGCAGGCAGAGTTTCAGATTTATGTGAGACAGACTTCTGCTCTGAAAATGTTTCATTCCTATGGACCGTATTATATTGTGCCCTAATAAAGATTAATAATGATAATAATAATAATAAGTTTTTAAAAAATTGTTTAGCTGTGCATACAACTGAAGGATTCTAACTTTGCTCTTTTGATGTACTATCTTCTTGTCTTCTGTTTTGTGAAGCACTTTGAGTTGCCTCATAACTGTGATACACAAATAAACTTGCCTTGCCTATAGCCATGAAGTCCTGTACATTTTCAACTTTCAACATGTGCTCTCTGCTGTGGGACAACGGATGGAAATTAGCTTTGCTGCTATTATCTGCCATATTTACACTGTTTCTATATTTGTTCATAAATGTGCCCTATCCCTATCAAAAATAAATAAATGTAGCAATACTCAAAAACAAGATTAAATGTATGTAATATCCCAATTAGCAAGAGATTAAAGCTGGAGTACAATACGTTTGAAATCTCGAAAACATGAACTATGTAATACAATCCCTTAAGTTGTTTCTAGCTCTCAAAACTGTCATCTTTGATTGATCCCAAAGTGAAGACATTTCTCTTGAAGATTTGTGTCACATATTTTTTTTCAGCTCAGCTCTCAGTTTGTAGATAATAAATTTGGAGATATATATTTTTTTGAATATAGACCGAATATTGTGGCCTGATTTGTTCACAACATTTTTCTTAGACGAGACAAACGGACAAACAATATGTACTTATTTTGATAAAGTTCCATCTTAACAATTATGCCACTCAAAATACAGATAATAATGTTTTGGGACAACTACATTTTGAGTGCAGTGCTTTCTTGTTTTTGAATTAGCTCTTTTTGTCTTTTCATTTCCAACTCTTAATTAAAGGTCCTATATCACGCTTTTCTTCATGTTTCACACTTAATCCTATACACATGTGTGATATTAATGTGTATGATACACCACACAACAATCAAAGCTTGTGATATTAGAGCCATCTCTTGTATAGAGGTGACGTCACCTCGACTCAAACGAGCTGATCCAGAGAAGAGTCCGCTCCTCTGCCTGTGAGCCCGCCTCCCCCCGCCCGCACGGTGACGTAGCATCACGCTTTTGTCGTTTATCACCTGTACTTAGTAATTTCATACATAAGAATAAACTTTTTCCAACAATGACAATCCGTCACATCGAGCCCTATGTCCTCGATGCACAATCAGACCCTAGTTATTTAGTTTACAGAAGTATACAGCGAGTTAGCGTCACTACTTACAGATCGAGGGGGTCCGAGTTACGTCTTTTACCGTGGGAATAACGTGTTTCCAGATCAGCTTTGGAGTAAGTCCAGTTCCATTGTCCCTGTAGTTCTGGAACAGTCTCAGTGAAGTGTCTCAGATGAACCGGTATTATAATAGATCCATGAGATGAACAGATGAAAAAAGTTGAGCCGCTTTCTTCCTCTTAGGGCCAAATAGTGTGTCACATATTTACACCCATAACACACTTCATTCAAGTTGACGTGATCCTAACACTTTTAGTTGCTGACAAAAGCATAAAAACAGCAGCTCTATGTGGTGTCCGCGAGACCAGGCCACAGACGCTGGACTCAGGAGCCGGAGCCTGTGCGCTCTGATTCGCTGTTTTGATCCGTCAATCACCTCCCGCCGGCTTTTAATATATTTTTATTTTTATTATTTTTGACAAAAAACAGCATACTAATTGTGTATGGTTTACCCCGTTTTGACAAAAGTATTTAACAACTATTTTAAATACAAAGCAAACGGGGTCATGCGCGTCATGCGCGTCATCAGTGTGGTTTTTGTCACTGAAGTGGACCCGAGCGTTTCTGTGCCTCACACTGGGGAAGGAGACAGATTGCTCTTTTACAAAAGATTGACAGAATCAATGAATAAACTACTGTGGGCTTGTGTATGAAGGCCAAATAGCATTGTAATCATGTTTAAAGCAGAGAAAAGTCAAAAACCGTGATATGGGCCCTTTAAGGCAAGGCAAGTTTATTTGTATAGCACAATTCATACACAAGGCAATTCAAAGTGCTGAACAAAACAAGAAAGCATTAAAATCATAAATAATCACAGAACATAAAAAAGAAAGATAAAAATATAAAATCCCTCAGTTGTATGCACAGCTAAACAGCACAGTTTTTAACCTGGTTTTAAACATTGTCAGAGAGGAGGCCTGTCTCACATCTTCAGGAAGATTGTTCCAGATTTTAGCAGCATGAATCTGAAAAGCAGCCTCCCCATGTTTAGTTCTGACTCTGGAGCACTAACAGGAGTCCAGTCCCTGTGCTCCTCAGAGTCCGGGCTGGTTCATATGGGACTAACATGTCACTAATATAGTTTGGTTAGAGGCCAATGAGAGACTTGTACACAAGCAGAGCTGTTTTAAAGTCTATTCTCTGAGCCACAGGAAGCCAGTGCAGAGACCTGAGAACTGGACTAATGTGGTCGTACTTCCTGGTTCTAGTCAGGACTCTAGCTGCTGCATTTTGAATGTACTGCAGCTGTTTTACAGCCTGTTTGGAGAGACCTGTGAGCAGGCCATTGCAGTAGTCTAACCTACTGGAGACAAATGCATGGATAAGAATCTCCAAGTCTGCTTTAGACACTATGTTTTTGATCCTGGCAATTTAAGTCTGAGTCCAGTATTACCCCTAGATTTCTGACCTTGGCAGCACTTAGATCAAACAAGATTAAGATTGAGACTTGACCTGCGTCAGTGTTCAGCCGGATATCGTTTGTAACCTTAACGAGAGCAGTCTCAGTGCTGTGGTGGGGTCTAAAGCCGGACTGAAACATATCAAATGAGTTGTTGATTATAAGAAATCTAGTAAGCTGTAGGTAGACAACTTTTTCAAGGACTTTCCCCATAAATGGCTGATTTGAGATGGGACGATAGTTAATGTTAAATACAACAGATAAAATATAATCGTTCACATCATGCACCATTATATATGAAGCCTCCACAACCTCCAGCAATCTCCCTGCTTCCCTCACAGCTGCTCAGTCAGTCCACATGGTCGCCACGTCGGCTCTGATTACGCCTGCACTCTGCCAGTAGAAAAGTGTTCTTGAGTGCAGGAAGAGGAGGCAAAGAAACAACCCGTGTCCAGTAATAAATAGTTGCATGCAGGGAGGCACTTCAGAGCTCTGGCCTGCTCTGACCCAAAGCAGATGCCGGCTGGTGGGCAAGAGTGTGCCGCGATGTGGGCCGGCATCATCATCAACAATGGCCATGCTCCAGCGCCCGAATCTACCGCCACGGACGCGAGTGTACACATCGTTAACGTCCAATCCGAACAGCCTGCGGGTGGGGCAAAGTGATATTGATGGAGGTGAGTCTGCACTGCGCTGGTTCACTGGCCATGTATGAAATATGGCCTTTTGCGTCACATGTTGCGTTCATTAATATTCACCAACAGCCTCAGTAATAACCCAGACTGTTTATTACCACGCAGTCGCCACTGGTTAACCTCTGCCTTATGTTCAGAGTAAGCCCAGCTGGAGTATTCCTGCGCTGTTTCCATATATACATGTACTCTGCATTAGATAACATAATCATGTATAATAAGTTGCTATAATTTTTGTCCGCAACGTTGCCAAGACTACGCTGGAAATATTTTTGGCTAGCTACATAGATAATCAGCATCAAATGAATCCAGTGAGAATCCTGGCATACAACGTTGTCCGGGGCAGCCAGTGAATGGTGTACTCATGTGAGAAAAAGCAGCAGCTGAGACGAGACAGAAGAATAAACCAGCACCTATAGCATTGCTTTGGTCATTAGCCAAAAAATCTTTAATTAACACAAACAGTGCGGCACACATAGTCTTGTTTTGTTTGGCCTGAACTGTGTTTAAACTTCAGTGCTTCACAAATGAGGCGACAGTCATATTTAAACACATTATTTACCCTGCAGTTGTTGTTCTCTAAATAAAACTACAACATCTGTCAAGTCACTTCAGTGGGGCTCTGCTCAAGCACCGTGCTTTCTCCCTTGAGCTGCTGAGCACTACGATCTGAATTCAAAGTGGTCAAAACATGCCACTAACAAATGGTGGCTTTGTTAGTTTGTTTATGTAACGCCCTCGTGGGGTAGTTACGTGGTAATGTTATGTACTAGTCTATAACAATCAAGAATGGACCAGAATAATTCAATTAGATATGACTGCTAGATATATTTGCAGCCAAAAAATACTGAAAATACAGTAAGAAAGAATAGGGACAACATATTACATACAAGTCGGTTGTAATCCACAGTTTTCAGTACTTCAAAGTTTGATTTCTTTGTTAAACGTTTTGTTTTTGATTCAATTTAAAAATGCAGTTTATTTGCCATTTGCAGTATAACAAGAGCAAGACTATCCCAGTGTGCACCAGAGCTCTTGCCACGGCACAATTCAGCTCTATATTTCGTTTCAATCAAATTACATTCTAAATCCAAATGAGTTCGTCCATAGCTTCATTAAATTGAGTATACAGTATAAACACATTCAGTTGTTAGTATAGTTACCCTTTAAGTTTATACTGTATGTAGTACAATCAAACCCAAATTGTTAAATACACTGTTACAATAAGAAGAAAAAAAACTGTTTTCTACTGAATACTTTTTTTCTCCTTATTTTCCACTCATTTAGTAGTTCTTTTTAGACTTTATCCACCGCTGTATTGCAGAAGTAAGTTTATGTGCTGCCAGTTCTGAAAAATCAGTAGAGGGTGGAGCACTCAAGGCGTTTGCAGAGGTCAGAAACAGCACAGCCCTGATTGAAGAATGGTCCGCCATCTTGTTGCAATCATGTGTTTGTTTTTAGCTGGACATGTCTTCAACCCACACTAGATCTCCCAGCATACACAACATAAACAGGTATGAAATCCAAGGCAATTCAACGCAAACATAATGTGCATTTCAGTCCTCGGATGGTGCTCCTTGATGTAGAGCTGCCACCACGTAATGGCGAAACCGAGCAGACAGACAGAGCGATGAACTTATAAAGTCTGTGACCTTATTTATGCACTGTTTACCTTCACATTCTATCAAAAACAAAACACATAGTCGTACAGTGCAGCTGTCAATAAACACAAGAGAAAGTGTGTGATATCACATGGGTCTCAGGTTTTGATCTTAAACTGTGAACATGGTTGTTTTGTTTCTGTGTCATGGACTTGAAGCAGAGAGGAGAGGAGAGGAGAGGAGAGGAGAGTGAGGACTGGAGCTGCATGTGTGTGTTGATCAGAAGGAGAGGAGGAGAGGTGAGTGAGGACTGGAGCTGCATGTGTGTGTTGATCAGAAGGAGAGGAGGAGAGAAGAGGAGGAGAGGGGAGTAAGGACATGTGTGTGTTGATCAGAGGGAGAGAAGGAGAGAAGAGGAAGAGAGGTGAGTAAGGACTGGAGTTGCATGTGTGTGTTGATCAGAGTGAGAGGAGGAGAGAAGAGTAAGGACTGGAGTTAAATGTGTGTGTTGAACAGAGGGAGAGGAGGAGAGAAGAGGAAGAGAGGTGAGTAAGGACTGGAGTTAAATGTGTGTGTTGAACAGAGGGAGAGGAGGAGAGAAGAAGAAGAGAGGTGAGTGAGGACTGGAGCTGCATGTGTGTGTTAATCAGAGTGAGAGGAGGAGAGAAGAGGAAGAGAGATTTAGCGGAGAGGAGGAGTTGCACAAAGGCAGGAGGGATCGACACATGCTAACCACACTCAATTTTGCGTAATAATAATGATAATGATAATATTTGACTTGCAGAAACAGTGGGGAAAGGCTTTGCCACATGACTGGGACTGGGAGAAGGCTCTCTGCTTTGGAGTCTACAGAACTTTCCAAGATTTCCAGAGAAGTAGCTAGAATTGTTGCTCGTATCTATTCAAAAGGGGGAAAAAAAAGTCACTGGGCTGTTTGAAATGCTACAAAATGAAGCAACAAATTCATTAAGTTGGAAACACTGAGCTCTGTGTGCGTGGCTTTGGAGCAGGGAGAATCCCCCGGACCAAACCGGTTGGCTGGTGCTCGGCACATGGGTGATGCAGCTGCGTAGTTGTAAAAAAAAAGTTTGAAGTAATTTGAAGTAGATTAAACATAAATAACTGATGAAGTCACAGTTTTAAGTTTTAACAAATCTTTCCCATATTTACTTATCAAAGTACTTTTACATCACATGTTTGCATTCACTTTGATAACCTGTTCTGTTAGATTCACAAGCTATAGATGATTCTTAATGTAGATTATAGTTGAGATTGATCCATGGTATTATTATTCAGAATTTGCATGTTATCCCCGTCTTTGCGTAGGTTTCTCCACCAAAACATGCAGGTCTGGCCTTTGCCTCCTGGATGGCGACCCCGCTCCCATCCCTGTGTGGAGAGAGAGACAAATGCCCACAATTGCGAAGCGTTTAGTGACTCTGTCCTGTGAAAGGCCTGTATAAAAAAGGATACTTACTTTCTTATTAATATTGTTTATACAAGAATGTCTTTGAACGACCGACAGCACAGCGACAACATCCTAACTACAGTGCCGTGTGAAAAGTTGTCCACATTTTGTCTTGGCCACAAACATGAAGATACTAAATTTAACTCTTACAAAAGATACAATGTTTTCTAACAAGATCAAAAACAGCATGGTGTGGTCTGATTTGTTCACAGCACAAAATAAAAAGTTATGTATTTGGAATCAACTACAAAAAAGACAGTTCATTAAAATGCAGAGCTAAAAATAATGAACTTCAAAGTAGGTCAGGATGATATAATATTTAGTAGAGTTAAGGTTAGAGAGAGTGTTTTTTATGCTTTACTATCGCACAAACCACAAAAGTTAAGGAGCGAATTAGGACTCAATGCTTCGGAAACTATTATCTTTTTTCCCTTTAATCAAAGTAAAAATTAATATCAATGTGCATACAGTACAGACACTTTCGGTCCTAATAATCACAATAGCAAGTGTTTGCACTTTCATTGATATTTTTTTCATTTCACTTTCTAATAATGATTATATGAGTAGTGACGCCTAACTCTTCAGTCACTGATTGGGGAATCGGGCTGAGACTAAATACGTTTTCTTCTTCCCACTCCCTTTCAGGCAGAATCATCATCATGTTTAAATGCATTATACAGTGTACATTAATTTTCTGTCCTTATCTTTTTGCACTATATGACATATATACCCTGTACTTATCTGTTCCATTGCCTGAAATAAATAAATGAATGAATGAAAAAATGAATAAATGAAAAATGATTAATGTTCTATATTTCATTTTTGTCTCTATATGAGGTTTTTCTAGGTATCAAACCTCAGAATCCCAGCCAAAATAAACAAATAAACATTCAGTTACTGGCAACATCCAAACCAGTCAGTCCCTCCTGAGTTTTGTCTTGGTTTGAAAGGTTATCTGGTAGTAGCCACTGCCCTGCCTGTGGCAGAGCAGGGACCGCTGCCAGCTGGCCACAGGAGTGAGAGTGTCGATAACGAAGGCGATGGAGAGGGGGGTGGGAACGGGGTGGGGCTGAGCTGGACGAGATATTGCAGTCTTTTGTGGCCCTGGATTGACCTTCATTCATAATGTACACCAATGGAGCAACTTAGGTTGAGGAGCAAAAAGATCCTTCCACATGACTGCACCTTTTCAAACATTTTCTGACTCAAAAGAACTACATGAAAGAGTGAAAACACAAAAAGAAGAAGGCTGTACGTTTATGTACTGCTGCGGAGGGATGCAGTCAATATAAACAAGTTGTTAGGTTGCACTTCAAATGAGATCAACATAAACTTGCCCATAAAATATGTTTTCTGCCCGCAGCGATTACAGATTATAGGGATATCATCTGCATTATGTCAGAAGCCAATCCCAGAGCTCACTAGCTCAGTTTCACTGTCTGTAGCTCTGCCATTAATAACTAATAGGTGGAACATTATGGAGAAATGGTGGGTATGTCTCGAGGGCTTACATTAGTCTGCTGTTCAGCATTTCCTTATCTCTTTATGGGACAAGAAGGAAAGGCAGGATTCCTTGTCCTCTCTGTGACTCTCTTGCTCCATTAAGTGCCCTCGTAGAATAATTATGTTGCTACTAAAAAAGCAGAGAAACTGAACACATTTAGACTGCTGAGCATTCACTCACAATATCTGACGCACTATAGGGTACTCACTTGTGCTCCGGGAAAGGCCTTCACCTAATACATAGGACACACATCTGTTTTCATTGTTTCATTTTCATCCATCCATCCATTTTCTACACATAGCACCAGCCCCTCACTGATCCTACTGCAGGTGGTGAGTCCACAGGAAAATGGGGTTAAGTGTCTTGCCCAAGGACACAATGACAGCAGACATCAGTGGGAGTCGTGAAGTAGGTCTTATGGTGGGCTCAAACCCACGACCTTCAGGCTCCAAGGCCAATGCTCTACCAACTGAGCCACTCTCGCCCCACAATGTGAGAAAAATAACTGTTTTCTGAAGTCCTTCTTTAACACAGAGGACTTTTTTTTGGACTGATTTTGATTGCTCCATTGCTAAGGAGAGCTAATCACTTTTGCACACCTATAAACTCTTGATAAATAAACTCAGACATCAATAATTTACTGTTTGGAGCAACAAGCGTTATAGCAGATAGCAAGATAAAAAAGACCAGAATATTAAAGATAGACTAATATACGGCCTTATTTCTGACTGATAGTCCACATATAAACAGATTAAGACAAACAGATCAAGATTAGAAGCAAATTCAAGAGCAGCTTTTGTTTATTTAACTGTTAACTGTTTTTTCAAGAAAGATTTGGTGCTTTTTTCATTTTGAGGAATCAAAATATATCAAAAACATCCAAATCTTGAACTGGCCATGTAAAATCATTCTTGGGTCTAGAAATATATCCAATCCCAGAAGAAGCTAGACAACAAGACTAATTAGTAATGTCACTACAGCGAGAGAAAACCATATGATCCGTTTGTTTAAGATGGAAATATGAATAATTATCGCAGGAACTACTGTAATGATGATTCATGCATAGTTTTTGTGGGTGCACTGAAGCCCACAGATTGTAGTTATTAGATTAGGGGAGTTGCCGATGTTCAGTCAAGAGCTACAAAATCCAACCAGGCTGAGACAATAGTACCACATGTCCACATTCATGCACACACACACACACACACACACACACACACACGCTCACACACACAGTGACGGAGAGAAGTGTACAACTTGGACTCATTTCAGAAACTCCATAAACATCATTAATCAACATGACTAAGATTAGTGACCAGAAAAGTGGCTGAACCTGCTCCTAATAATGAGATAAAAGTAAAGCACGGGCTCGGCCTGCGCTCTTGTCTCGCCTCAGAAGACAATGATTCCTATAACAGAAAAAATATATACTTTAATGACTTGTATTTAACCCAGATTGAAGCATATGGTGAAGACCTAAGTTGAAACCTATACGTAGACAAGTGGAGCACATGCAAACTCCACCCAGGAAGGCCCTTTACGTCAAGGCTGCTCCTGGGAAGAATTGCAGAAAAAAAAGGAAATTGGAGACAAAGGTGACACGCGTCCTTTGTTTTGGTTGTTTCACAATCACATCTGCTGCCATGGCCCCAGTGGAAAGCTTCTATTCAGCTGAGTTTAGATTGTATAACCTGTGCATTCACCGCCCCACACTGCAGGACAGAGCTCACAAAGGAGAGAAAACACGAAGGATATGAAAGCTACCAGGGTTACAGATTGAAAGAAAAACCTTTCACCGACTGAGCTTTTGCCCAGACGAACAGGACCTGGTAGAGAGCTCTGGAACAAACTATCACCAGAACGGTTGAAATGTTTGAATTTTTTCCGTAATCATATTATTTGAGGAAGCTTTCTGTTCGTAAAGGAAAAGTGAGAGAACTTAACTTTTTTTCTTGGCCCATGATAAAGAAATATGTAATGACCTTCACACGACTCAATACAGCGTTTATATAAGTACATGGAGCAGCATGTTGTGTCAGTGGCCAGAGTGATTATTATCAAAATATCAATGTGAAACTTAATCACGTATCCAAAACATATTTTATTGCCAAAACTGTAACGACCCAGCTCTGCTAAGGTAAGGGAAAAACAAGATGTAAAACTGGCAAAGTAAGCATACAATAAGAGGCATGTAAATGACAAGGTGACATCAATCAAAAGAAGTCAATACAGGATGTAACTCAACATTACCAAAACAAAACCTAGACTAAATTGTTACATTAATACACGGAGAAACAAAACACTAAACTGACTGTTGTCTTAACAAAAGAGAATTGTTACAAAAACAAAACCTCAAGTGACAAGTTCTTGTAAATAGTGTATTCTTGAATGAATTTTGTCTAATGTGTAAACACTATACATTGTCTTGATTGATGTTGTCTCCGTCTTTCACTTTTCTTATGTTTATGTACTTTAATGGCTTTTTATCATCATGGCCAGGGGACTACAGATGGAAAATAGCCTCCTTGGCTAATTCTAGCTTTTTTAACCATGTGTTTTATTAAATTGCATTGTTCCCTTTGAAAAAAACTAAACAGAAGCTGAAACAACAGAAAATGAGACAACCCAACTAAAAGCTATACGGACTATGTCTTTAAGTCATTTCCTTAGGACAAAATGGAGTGTGGCCTTAAGTGACTCCAGGTAGGGACGTTGGATTGGCCAGGTGCACCGCTGTTCCTCCAATCAGAGCCTGAGTCACGGCCTTCTGGGAGGACTTTGGCCCTTCTTGTACAGGGCGTTTAGTCCAGTTTATTGTTAATGTGAACACCCAGGTACTTGAAGCTGTCCACCAGCTCAATGTCCTCCCCCTGGATGTTCAGCGGCGTGTGGGGGAAAGTGGTTTTCTACTGAAGTCGATTACCATTTCCTTGGTCTTACTGGTGTTCAAAAAGAAGTGGTAGATATACAGTTTAGCACTGTCCTTGGTCCTGGTGTTTATTTCGTGATACTGTCTTTGTAAATCCAGATATATGCTTAAAAAACGGACTACTCATTGACATTCCCGCATAAATAGCATGTTGAGTTAGCTCTAATTAGCCTCTGTCGCATTAAAGCTGACACTATGGTTGCATTACATGTGTGTGTGCCAATGTGCCTTTTCTTCACACTAATTTATTGGTTTTGATTTATTATTTGTTGTTGAGTAGTTGGTTTTGTTTTGACATCAATTATCTCATGGATTTGTTTTACATTGTACTTCCTGTCCTTGTCTGCCCCTCTGTCTTTGTGACCTCTGTGCTCGTCCTCGTTGGTTGCTGACCCATTGTCGCGAGTCTTTGTTCTGTGTTTTTTTTTCCCCGGTTCCTATATTCAGTTTTGTATTTTAGTCTTGTATAGCCCTAATTCACAACAGTAGTTATCTCGGAAGACTTCACAAAACCGTTGAATTCGCCAAAACAGATCAGAGAATCATAAAATTCAAAGACAAAGAATATAGAACACATAGACATTGGTCCATAGGGGGAGTTGACCATTGTCCATAAGTGTTGATACATCTCCATAAATATTGTTCAATGCAGTGTCCTGGATCATCACCACTGTTTTAGACCCTTCATCTTTCAAATTGAGGTTCATTTTCACTTTAGACATCAATTTTATTTTTTGTCCTTTTTTCACCTCATGACAGAGATTTCAAAACTTTTCTGAGGAGGTTAATTTTACTAACGATTATCAAAACCTTACTAACACATTGCTACATGTGCAACAGGTTAGTCCATATTATATAGTGTTATTGAATAGAACCGTGAAAAGGCTCTTGCTATCCTCTCTCTTGTTTTTTAAGTTCCTCGCAGGTCATTTTCAAGGCTGCTGAGGAAGTGTGGGCATTTGGCAGATATTTGATTTGTGCCTGGTTTTACGGAGGAGGCACACTGGAGATAAAGTCAAGCCATTAAAACTTTTCCTTGCAGATAAAGTGACATGGTAATGGCTCATAAAGAGAAAGTAAATAAATTAGGAGGCAGGGTTTTTTATGACTACAGTGAATAGTGCCACAGCGCAACGCAGCAAAGCAGAAATGTGTTGGTTGTGATAGCAGAGCTGTAGGTACAGTCTGGCAATGTCTATTTTTGGTTTTAAAAACTTGATTGCATGACCAATTAACTTCTATATAAGCAGAACAAAGAACATTGTAACTGTAAAGTCGCTATACATGGTATATAGTCTGGAACTCTAAATGAATTACACATTTTAAGAATTGTATTAAATTGACGTCCTGGCCTTAAATGTTGATATAAAATAAGTCGTTTTATGAATTCTAATATTACAGGTAAGTTCCACCTTCCCTGCTCCTAGCAATGGCTAGAAATCCACCATGCTGTCCACGTTAACCAATCAAGTGATGCCAAGGGCTGTCAATCATCGGCGCTGATGCTCGTAGCTGTTTGTTTTCATGGAGCCTCCGAATCAATCCTCTATTAGGCTCTGGAACTTCATGAAAACTTAACAAAGAATTCTGAACATCTGCGCTGAGTTACCCATGTATATACTGAACCTACTGTATATCCA